ATTCTATAGACTAATATATGCACATTCAACATGTGCAAGTTTAATTAATAGCTACCAGTGGAATAACTGATCCAACCCCTAACCTCCCCATCTTATCCCCACAACCATTAGTTGTCTGTTTTGGTGGGGGTATTTTTTTGTATGTGTGCGTGTGTGTGTGTATGTGTTAATTTTTGTGGTTGTTTTCTTTTGTACAGAAACCAAATTTATATTTTTGTGATGTAGTGACTTTAACCTATTAAGCCAAAAATAATTGTGCTCAGCAAACAAATTTAAAACATTTTGAATGGTTGTCCAAGGAAAAAATTATTAACCGGACTTTGTTTGTCCTGCATAAAAAAAAAACGGTTGCTCTTCTATAATTAAAAAATACTTACAATAATGTCAGGATACATGGACACACAAAGAAACTTTATTAACAAGGTTCTATCAAATGTCTGATTGACATCAGGTACTTTATTAAGATCAACATTGTGTATTCACTCATGCCTCCTCAAAACATTTTGGCCTACACCTTGGGAATATTATAAAAATGCTCATCAATATTCATGTAAAAAACCAGCAAAAATCATTGAAACAAATGTTCAATTTTGTTTTGACAATTTTGATAATTGCCATAAAGACACCAGCTCAGGTAAAATGGTGGGATACGGTAGCAGGATCACTACCGGAACCCCTCAAAAATATTACAGCAAAAATAATGCAGTAACTTGCTAAACATTGTGTACCGAATGTTCGGAGAATTTGCTTTCCTACTCTTATAAGTAATACACTAACGTGGATTCACTATGCCTATTTTACACAATGAACGCGGCTTTGTTTACGTTTGAAAAAGCCTAAAAAAAATTGTTGTTTTGTTCATTTATATTTTCACGCATGTTGCATCTATTTCTATCATACAAAACACGAATAGAATCTGCTACAGTGGCAGTTATTTTGTGCTAAAACAAACTCAAAAAGTCCTTGTATTTGTTTTATCTCAACACCAGAGACATGTCTTCTCAGCAGCCATATCAGTATATTTCAACAAAAGACATTAATAATTTTTTCACTTATCCAATGTAACTGTCAACATCTGCCCAGGAAAACTTATCACATAATAACTGGAGAAATCATGAGTTATGATTGGTTGAACAACCACAGATGCTGTTGCATTTTGAATAGAAATGTTACTGATGTGGAGATTTCTTCCTTGGTATGCACATGTTTGGAGGATTTCAATGCACTGTTACAGGTACCTTGGAAGGCAGGTTGTGCAGGTAGAGGTAATGTTTCTGGAAGTTTCTTTGCCTGTCTGTACTCATGATGTGCATTGCACGCCTCAGGAATGAAAACCGTTGTGCGTGTATCTTTGGAAGTTGAACTGAGCCAGCAAAGCCATTCAATAGAAACATGAAAATAACACAGGAATTATAACTTTGTTGATGATATTCTCGCATTACTTGTGTTTCATTGCATCTCCCTGGTTCTGTGCTGAAATGCTCATGCAAGGCGGTATGGTATACAGCTTTGAAGCCTGAAATAATTTGGTTGTTCGAAGGACAAACTTAGTCACTAAACTTTACAGCATTTGGTTGTCCGACATAATTTCTATTTATGTTGATTGACTGCTAAATTTGTTCACTGTTTAGGCTTCTCCACTATTTCTAAGAGAATTGATCTGTGAAGTTTGATTATAATCTGCTGTTTAGAACACTAATTATTGTGTGGAAACGAAATTTTTATTTCTTGAAATGGTAAACCTTAATCTTTGACTTTTTAACAGTAGAATTTTTCCCAATCTCCAAGAGAAGTGACATGTGAAGTGTGATTAAAATCTGCTGTTTATGACACTAATTATTAGCAGAATGATGTCTATGGATGGATAATGCCATTGTTATATCCTCCTGTAATTAAAAATTTAAGATAAATTATATCTAGTTATACAAAAAAAGGGCCTACTTAAATTATGAGTAAAAGTTCAGTAGCTGTTTGCTGACTATTTAATCTAGGCTTCACTTGAAGGATTAGAAACGTCTTCAAATGAAGCTTAGATTAACCATTTGAGTGCATAATTAAATTTCAGATGGGTTCTCAAAAAATCTCAATTATCCACTACAAAATGAAATGTAGAAATTGACCTTTTATGGTATTTTTTGATATCATAATCCATTAGTTGCACTTTTGCTCTGTGAAATTCAAAGACGTGCGAGTATCCTGATTGTCGCACTGTAAGGAAAAGTTTTTGTGTCGCTTTGAGCACCGAATGGCTATAAATGTGAAGTCAGATAAATCCGATTATAGCATCCAAAGGGTTAAAAATCAGCAAACAGTTACTGAACTTTTACTAGCAATTTAGGTAATTTGTGTAATTAAGAGTCTGTTTGTGCATTCATCCTCTTGCTTGATGTATTTGCTCTTTAAGTTGGGGTTCGTAACAAATATCTGACATAAATACTATTACTATGCATGAGTGTGATGATTAAGTAATAAGTTATTTATATGAAAGGAAAAAAGCTGTGCTTATCCGTTAAAAGCTTCATACACTTTTTAGGCTTCCTTATGTAAGCTTACTAAGCTGAGGCGGCTCTACATCAGTGACAACGAATTCGATTTCGAAGGGATCCCATCTGGAATTGGAAAGCTACATAATTTGGAGATTTTTATGGCTAACAATAACAACCTTGAAATGATACCAGAGGGAGTTGTTCGGTAAAAAATAGATTCTTTATCATGTTACCTTTCCTGTTATTTTATAGTTTATGAATTTTGAGTATGTTTAAAACTTATTTTTTTCAATATAATTTATAAAACAATCTTTGGCATTATGGTGTAGATTGACAAATTAGTTTTGTATATATCTTTTATTGCTGTACAGAACTTTTACAACTACTTTTCTTATCAAAATAGATATATTAATATTATATAGATATTTATAATTAAAAGATAAGCACTTTTATAGGGCCCGGCATGGCCAGGTGGTTAGGACACTCGACTCGCAATCTGCGGGTCGAGGGTTTGCATCCCTGTCCCACCAAACATGCTCGTCCTTTCAGCCGTGAGGGCATTATAAAGTGACGGTCAAGTCCACTATTCGTTGGCAAAAGTGTAGCCCAAGAGTTGCCTTCCTTCTAGTCTTACACTGCTAAATTAGGAACGGCTAACGCAGATAGCCCTCGTGTAGCTTTGCGCAAAATTCAAAACAAACAAGCACTTTTATAGCTTATAATAATCAGTAAAAAGTTGTAACATATTATGATGACCTACTTGTAGTTTAAGTTTTCTTGATTTGCAGTTGCAAAGATGATGCATTTTCTGATTCTTAAATTTTAGATGCGGCCGACTAAAGAAACTAATGCTGGCACATAATCGACTAATCACCCTTCCTGAGTCCATACACTTATTGACTGATTTAGAGGTATTAGACTTGCGAGATAATCCAGATTTGGTGATGCCTCCAAAACCCCAAGAAGCTCAGAAAGGGAAACTAGAGTATTACAACATTGATTTCTCCCTAAACACACAGTTACGACTAGCAGGAGCAGTACCCTCTACACCTGTTTCTCCATCAGGTACTTCACTAATTGATTCTATATTACAACATTGATTTCTCCCTAAACACACAGTTACGACTAGCAGGAGCAGTACCCTCTACACCTGTTTCTCCATCAGGTACTTCACTAATTGATTCTATATTCTATATTGCAAGTAATTAATGAAGTCAGAATATTGTTATAATTTAAGATGTTAAGCTTTAGAAGCTGAATTAATCTGTAAAAAATTGTATTAAAAAAGTATAATTTAGGGTTTCTGTTTTGAAATTGTATGTGCTTATGTTTTATTCCAAGTTTTATATTCATAAACCAAGAAAAGTTATTCTAATTATTAAATTGTGTAAACCTGTTTACTCAGTTTTTTAAAAAAACAACAACAATTATATGGGTTATGTAATAATGTTTGACAGTTACAAAACATATATTAAATATATTTCTTGAATTTACATCATTCAGAAAGAATTTAACAAACAGTGAATTTGGTGTGTATAAAATTACATGAAACTCTCCTGTTCCCAATTTTCTTAGCTCCAAGTAAGGATCCTATTGCTCGCAAAATGAGGCTCCGAAGAAGGAAGGAAGGAGAGGCCGACAGCGATCAGGCAAAGGTGCTGAAGGGAATGAGTGACCTGGCAAAGGAGAAAAATAAAGATCCAAACAAGCAACAAGATGATAACAAAAATATCTCACTGAAGTGAGTACCTAGTTATGTGAATCACCATTTAAAGAAGTAAATTCATTTAAATCTAAAAATGCTTCTCACATGTTAACCAACTTGTGAATTCAACTCATTAAAGAAAGAATTTGTATCGAAAGTAAAGTTATCAGATGGGAAAGTAAGTAGTTCAAAATGTTTCTCAGTTTTAAATATCGAGCAGTTTTGAAAGAAATGATTACTTTTAAAGTAATTTGAACTCTTTGTAAATGCATATGAAAGCCAAAGAACCATAGCACCTATTTTTATCATAAAATAGCCTGAAGCAAGACTAATTAATAACCAAGTTAAATGGATGTCGGTGAATTTTAATACCATTCTACTCTTTCTACATTCTATGCCAAGTGAGGGTTAGGATGACCAGTTAAACCAGTAAAGATGTAGAATTCCTTTTTCTTTGTCAGTAACATTGGAAGTGTGCTTAAAAAAACATGGGACTTCCTATAAATGGACAGAAAATTTAGTGACTTGATATTAACGTAAAGTAAAGCCTAATTATTTGGGTGATATTCTAAAACCCTGGACTTTCCTACCTGAGTGAAAAAACTTAAGGTGTTTTGAAGACTGTTGATTGTTAAAGTATAGCTAACAAAACATAAAAAGAAAAATTATTTAATAATTTTAATTTTTTTTAAAGAAATCTGAAAAATTGCATTTGACAAATTAGGCTTAGTAATGAAGAAAAAACTTTAGAAGTTCATTCATTTATAGTCTAGTGACCACAATTCAAGTTTATATTAGGTCCTGAATTATATATCATGTCGAGAACAAGTTAAACAGAAGTGCTAAATCAAACATTAAAAAGTAAATTGTTAGTTAGGAGTTGTAACGTTGTTCTTAGTTTATGTTAAAGGTTTTTTAATTTGATGTTATTTAAACCTTTAGAGTGTTTTAGATATCTTCAACAATTCAAAACCATGAATCAGTTTCACCCTGACTACAGAAGCACTGCAGTCAACTATGCTTATTCTTGTCTACATATAACCATTGGATTAATATAGATATAATTCTGTTCATCATCTAATACGTTCAACATTTTGATTCACTGTTGTGAGAGTATTTAATTATAATTTCAATATTATTTCGAGTATAACTTGCTTTTCTTTATTTTTTTTAACATTGTCTCTGCTAGATTTGTTGCTATTGTCTTTGTGTGACTGTGCTGTGTTTTTAAAACAGGCCAAAGAGGTGGGATGAAGCCTTAGAAAAACCTCCTTTGGACTACAGCCAATTTTTTGAGGATGATGTCGGACAGATTTCGGGTGAGAGTCGCAGTTTTAAATTGCTGAGTATTAAATAGTCCCTAGGTGTTTTGTTTGTTTTTATAAGCTCTATCTAGAAAAAGCTAGCCCTGATAATGATAACAATGTGTTGGCTTAAATATCTAATAAAAAATTTTATCTTTCATTGTGACAAAAAAAATGTCAGTTTTATTTTCTACTCTTAACATTGTGGATATTTAGTCTGAACATTTTTTTTTTCCAGGTATAATGTGTTGGGAGATTGAAAACTTCCTTCCTAATCAAGTTGATGATGGTATTTATTTATTTATTTTGTGTTTGTGTAATTACAGATCTTACAATTAGTTAAATAACTGCAAATAAGCAACAAAATTTTCTGATTAAAGGATGTTATTGGTAAACTGGGTGAAAGCATCTTTCAAGTCTGGTGTTATAATTTTTATTGAATTTATACACATACACAAAAAAAATGTATATTTGCAGATTTTTTCTAAATTTCAAAAATAGTTTACTGGTTCTTATGAACTGCTCTTACGTGGGTTCTGAAACTGAATAGTTTCAGATTCTATAAATGACTTCAATAATAGAAAGACCAATAAAGACCATACACAGCTTTTCATATTATATTGTCAAAGCTGATTCTAGAAACAGTTCTTATAACTAAAACACATATATTTATTTTTTACATTTCAAAGTAGGATATATTCTCAGTTTCTTCGCTCTCTCTCTCTTTATCTTTCAATTAACCAATTTCTTTGTTCTTGATTTATAAAGAACATATCTTTACTACACATTACAAGTAACACACATACAGAAAAACAACCACAAAAACAAAACAGGTATGTTGATCACATGTAAATTAATTTTTAATTCTCAGTAACTTATCAGTAGACTTTTACTTTAGTTCACAGTTTGGAATGAGTTATATTTTATTTCATAAACATGTAATGTCATACAAAACAAAATATTCCGGGAGATTATCAGGTTTATATTTTTACTACTATTTTTCCTCTGCCTAATACACAAGTCTTTATTTGTCTAACGTTGTATTATAGAGGAGTTGGTTTACGTAACGTAAGTTGAGGGGACATAGGTAATGGGATTTTCTCAATACAAATGTTTATTTAAACAAAATTGACCTGTTTTTAATTTTTGTTCGAGATAATGATGAAATACTGTAATACTATAGCAGTTTTTTTTATATCTACGTACCAATAAGGGATGGTGTTAATAATATTTGTTCTTCATTTGTTAAGTGTTTATAGGGAAGTTCTAATCTACGTACCAATAAAAGATGGTGTTAATAATATTTGTTCTTCATTTGTTAAGTGTTTATAGGGAAGTTCTAATCTACGTACCAATAAGGGATGGTGTTAATAATATTTGTTCTTCATTTGTTAAGTGTTTATAGGGAAGTTCTAATCTACGTACCAATAAGGGATGGTGTTAATAATATTTGTTCTTCATTTGTTAAGTGTTTATAATTTTTGTTCGAGATAATGATGAAATACCGTAATACTATAGCAGTTTTTTTTATATCTACGTACCAATAAGGGATGGTGTTAATAATATTTGTTCTTCATTTGTTAAGTGTTTATAATTTTTGTTCGAGATAATGATGAAATACTGTAATACTATAGCAGTTTTTTTTATATCTACGTACCAATAAGGGATGGTGTTAATAATATTTGTTCTTCATTTGTTAAGTGTTTATAGGGAAGTTCTATGAAGGTGATTGCTACATAATTTTGAAGACATTCACAGATGATACCCAGGGCCTGAACTGGCAGATATTTTATTGGATTGGATCGTGTACAACTGTATGTTTCTTTTCTTTTCTGTGTACTTTATTTTAGCCCACTTGAGGTTTTTAGTGACCACTATATTAGTAATCTGCATATAAGTTAATGATCATTTACTTGTATGCTCTTTAATTGTGATGTGAGGTAGTTAATGGATTGCCACTCACAACTTATGTGTCTCCATTCCAAGGTATTGGTTAGTCACATGTTCTGTTTATCACTGCTAAACTGTGGCTGATAGTTACCTATCTGTATCTGTATAAACATGTAGTCAGTATCATATGCCAGAAGTAACTTGTGTCCATTACCATGTAGTCAGTATATCATCAGTTAGAAGTAACTTGTGTCCATTACCATGTAGTCAGTATATCATCAGTTAGAAGTAACTTGGGTCCATTACCATGTAGTCAGTATATCATCAGTTAGAAGTAACTTTGGTCCATTACTATGTGGTCAGTATATCATCAGTTAGAAGTAACTTGTGTCCATTACCATGTAGTCAGTATATCATCAGTTAGAAGTAACTTTGGTCCATTACTATGTGGTCAGTATATT